ATAATCATGTCTTGTGATTATTTAACAGGAGTTTTACTTTTAAACTATAAGTGTATTTAATTCAGTTATAATGTAAATACAATACAAATAAACCAAGATTTAGAATAATTATCATTTTGATCCGTACATTGGTAATGGCTGACTGGGTCTCGTRCCACTTTATGTTCAACAAATTGGGCCCTGAGGTCAAAAAGGTTAAGAACCCCTGGTTTRTACGTCCTCATACAGTCATGTCTTYGTTAYCCTTCAGCTGTGGGATTCGCTSCTGAAAGCTGAAAGTTCTTCTGAGGACATTTCCTCGTGCTGGAAGGCGAGCCTGAAGAAAGACCTGAAGAAGAGGATATCTAATGTCAGTGAAGCACTCTTTATTTGTCCGTTCAGCTTCAACACATCAGCACTGAAGGTAGATGTGTTGTTTCTTTCCAGTTAAGTGATGAAGATAAAGTGTTGGTCTGCTGCCTGGAGTCGACCTCAGCAGCTTTAAGGAAAACTCATGAAGATCTTCAAACCTGTTTCCATGAAGCCTTTGAGTTAGCCATCAAGACAACCTGCCAGGTGTGACGTTAATAATTCACTCTTTTTATTCTCCAAAATATCTCAGTTTAAGACGCATCAAACTTTTAACAAAGTTTACCTCATTTATTTTAAAATTAAGAGATCAAGTGTGAAAAACCAAACCTCATGTTTCCAAAGGGTCATGAATTCATAAGCAAGTGTGAATGTTGTTAACAGTTACAGATTCATGCATTTTTATTTGTTTAGTGCAATAAAAACCTGCTGATCTACAGTCTATACGTGCTTCTGACCTGCGCTTTTGCACAACAAGTGTTCTGTAATGGCTTATTTACCGAAAACACCAAATATGTTGACAGAGTTTTGTCACGTTTCTCATAGAGAGGACAGGAGGGAGACCTGATCCGAGCGCTCAGCTCCAAGGTTAAAGATCTTCCGGTGGATTTCACGTCGGCTGTTGTGGTTGAGTCTGCAGCGCGGTTCAGGGACAACACGGTGGTCCAGCTGCTGGATCCCCAGTCCGCCGTGAACTTTCTGCTCTCCAGCTGTTGGTCACTTATTCATCTATTTGTACCAAATGTTTCAATGCGGATGCAACTTTTACACTAATGTTGCAGAGGATTTCTTCTTAGTGTCATCAAAGTTTTGTTTTATCTTTTTTTTTTTGTCTCAGGTGACTGGAGGTCCATCCAGGTGGATGACACCGCAGGACAGGTGGTCCACAGCTGCGTGGAGGCTGTCAGCTCTCTGGTTGTGTCTCTGTTGGAAGGAAACGCATCTCTTGGACACCTACAGATCTGCCTGAAATATCAGGAGCAGTTTAAGAGACTTTACCAGCAGTGTACGTTCCCTCTRTTAGTAATTTGAATAAAATCCATGAGAGAAACTCTGTATTAATATATTATTACATCTCCACAGACAAGAAGAACACAAAGTCGGTGGTCATTCYTGTTGCTGCAGAGGTGATTTTGGCTCAGAGAGAGACAGAGCTGAACGCTTTCRTACATCGCAGGCAGGAAATCAGCACACTGATGAAGATGATGGCAAAGGTTACAGAGAGCATCACAGGTGGGCAGATCTAAAAAAATGAAGTGCTCCATTATCATAATTTTTGTCGGCTGCAGCCAAAAGACGACGTGCGAGCAATCGTGCCTCAGCATCCATRCTGTATATTTCTCTGGTTTGATATATTTGCATGATGTTTTCTTGGGTTAACAGCTCCTGAGATGTTGACTTTGGAGGTGCAGCACGGAGCAGACATCCAAGCTGTGAGCCTGAGCAGACTGGTGCTTGTTCAGGCCTTTGATGCGGGAGGAAAGCTGCAGAAGACCGGTCCTCCGCAGGTCATCTGGTATAAAACCAGCTTCAACATCCTAAAAATGTCCTGTGAGATGCACAAGCTGCATCACAGCAACCTGATTCTGTCCTCGTGGGTCAAACGGGTAGCCTCCTTCGCATCAACGAAGCTTCCTGCCCYGCCTCCTGTTCAGGTGAGCCTCTTGCAGATCTACGAGAACACCTGGAGTCCTGTGGTGGAGGAGTTCCTCCAACTTGGCAGCAGAATCGCGGAGGCGAACATCACCTTCGAGGAGCTCGACCAGGTGCTGGTGGAGTCTGGTGATCAGGGTGACGGGAAACTGCTGAGGAATGAGCTGAATCTGATGTTGGAGGTGATTTCTGCGGAGTTTACCTCTRAGGAGGACTGGGTAAAGCTAAGGCTGGCTCAGATCCAGAAGTACCGACAGCTCCAAGAGGCAGCGGCTACAGCCAGAGCAGTGCTGAGAATCGCAGAACAAATGAAGCTTTCTGGAAACTTCTCTGCCATCGACACCCTCAGCCAGCTGGTAATCTAACTTTCTGACATCAGTGGCTTGCTCAAACCTGTCTCAAACTCAAAAGAAATAAATCTTAACTAGAAGCACTCGGAGAGCACAAACCTCTGCCAAGGCTATAGGGTCAATTAYGCTAAAAGGTTCCCCCTTGGAAAAGTGATCTATCCAATGCTTTATAMTACATATAGTAACATCCTGTTCATACGTAAAAGTAAATGATGGAAATCAAAATTTCAGTTTATTCCAACATATTTATCAGAAAACACATGTAGAACAATTATATTGAATCAATATCATAACAMAGTATCATTCCAAATATAACCAGACATATTCTGKGCCTATGCAGTGAAGGTATCATAAAAAATGTTTTCAAGTGAGTAAACATTAAGATTACAGTTTAAATTTTCTGGAAACGGCACGATTCGCAAAAGCTTCCTGTTTTTCGCAAAAAACATTATACGCTCACTTGAGGTGGTTTTGTTTTTGTTTTTTTTGTTTGTTTGTTTTCAAAAAATAATGTGCAAAAGGACAGGCGGAGACACATTTTCTGAATAAGTTCCTCATATGGTGATCAGCTGTTCCCGCTCCGGTACCAGCTTCAGCTCGGCTGCACCCGTCAYTGCAGCTGGACCCTCCTCCCGCTGTCAGTGTCTTCTCAGTTATTCCCGAAACGTGAAGAGAATCACATTTCTTTCTCTACGTCTCCAGACAGCATGTAACATCACCAAATACTAGTTGATAACAGAATAATTAAAACTTTCCTGATAGTAGCAACATGTTTCCCGATAACTTCTCTCTATTATCCTGGATGAAAGTCCCAGCGAGTTTGCRACTTCTACTTCCTGTTTACTACAGACATGCGTCTCATGTAATGACACTTTGCGTAGCCTGCTTGCTTCGCTTGAATTAGAAAAAAAAATTCCTAGATCCGGATCATGATCTGGAACATCACCTAAATTTTATGGTGTGTTTCTTTGGCCAATACCCACCTGTGGTAAAAATTTCAYGAAAATCCATCTTTAAATTTTTTAGTCATTTTGTCCATAGACAGACAGACAAACAGACAGACATACTGTATATGCGCCAGAAAACATTACCTCCTCCCTTGGCGGAGGTAATAATAAATTACTTGCAATCCATTTTAGTACCAGGTCTTGATTTAACCATCCTGCTGCTTCCTTCCTGTGAGAATGCTGAGTTCTTTCATGACATTTTAACAGGATGAAGAATCCTTCAAGCAGAGGGTCCTGAGTTCTCTCACTGATGACCTGTTTCATGCCAGTCAGCAGCTCTCTACCATCACCAGACAGCACACTGCGTGTCTGGAAGAGTTTCTAAAGAGCCAGACACTGATCAGCTGGGTCAAAGAGAACCTTAAAAGTAGGATTCCTGCATTTATTTATATTTAAAATGATCAGAAGCACCCATCCACTCACTTTTGTCCCGTCAACAGCTATGAGCGATGTGAAAGTTTACGTCGACCTTGCCTCGATATCTGCTGGAGAGAATGACACGGAGATCGACCAGGTGGCCTGCTTCCACGACGCGGTGATGGGCTACGCTCCTCTGCTCTACTYCCTCTCCCCTCGGGCGGGCTTCGAGGAATTCATTAAATGTGCTCATCAGGTGTGGGACGCCCAGAGCAGAGACGACAAGCTCCCTTACAAACTGGTATTAATCCTCTTCTCCTCCCTAACACCCTTCTGTGCGGAAGTGTCGAGTCATTGTCAAAGTGTCGGACTGAAACTTCATCAGATAAGAACGATCAAGATCACTTTAAGATTTCTTGGAATCTTAAAGTGAATCTTTCACAGTTCTTGGAACTGTGAAAGAAACTAGAAATATATCTGTGAAAACACAGAGGGAATGCTGATTGATTGATGAATAATTGCGGAAGAAGCTGAAACTGAGTTGTGTTAATGATCAGAACAGAAGCTAAAATTAGCAACACAGATACTAAACCTAAAACCAGCCAAACTGTTGGTAAAATGTGCACAATAGATACTAAAATTAAAGCTAAAGCTGAAATTAGCTAAACAGTAGCTAAACAGAGCAAAACAGATTCTGAAGTTTAAACTAGCAAAATAGTATCTAAAATAGTATCCAGTTACTACAAATAGTAAAACAAATACTAAAGTTAAAATTAGCAAAAAAAATAGCTAATATTAAGAATACTAAAGCTAAACTTAAAACAATAAAGTAGCTGAAAAGAGCCAAAGGGGTGCTATTGTTAGCAAAACTGTCACTAAAGTTAAACATGGTTCCCGCTGATCCTTAAAAAGTCTTTAAAAGGCCTCGAATTAATCAGTCCAAAAATAAAGCCTTAAAAGGTCTTAAATCAATCTGTCTTAAATCAATCTTCAGAAGTCTTAAAAATGTTAACACATTGTAAGTAGGATGACTGTTTTTCGTATCAAATATTAAAATAATTGGTAACATTTATTTATTTTTGAAATATTCCCATTCARATGTTTCCTTCTGACACCACTTCCTGTTATTTCACATGCAAATATTTCAACAACCGTCTATCTGAGCAATGTAAAATATGTTTTCTAATAAGTTAATAATGTTGTCATTTTGGGTCTTTAGAGGATTTCCAGGAATTAAACTAAGTTTAAAACTGACTGCTAAGAATATTTTTTGCTAAATTTGACAAGAGAGCAGTTACAGTAGATATGGATAAAAACAATTGGTCTATTGGCAGTGTTTGAATAATTCAACCTAAAGTACTTTGATTCACGAGTTTCTGCCGCAGTTTTAATTTTTTTTTTTTTGTCATTTGTGTTTATTGTAAAATTGGTCTTAAATTTGATTTCACTTGGCATTAAAAAGTCTTAAAAATTCTTAAATTTAACTAGGCTTAAACTGTAGGAACCCTGTTAAAAAACAAATAAAGCTTAAACAGTAGCTATCCATCCATCCATCCATTTTCTGTACACGCTTCTTCCTTACAGTAGCTACAATGAGCAAAATTAGTTAAAAACTAAATGTGGCAGAATGGTAGCTAAAAGCTAATTGTAGCATAAATAGACAAAAATAGGGCAAGAACACTGAGATTGATTTTACAGAATGTTTTTGAAGAAATTGAAAAGATTTTAGTGTACTTTTATGGGAATTTTATTTGAATTTTGTTAAAATATTTTAAAAAGTATTAATAAAACAAAATAGAAAAACAAAAATACTGTTGACTTGTTTTCCAGAGAGAGTCAACTCGATTGCTGAGCTGGCTGAAAGCCCTGAAGGAGACTCACGGTTCGGTGGAGCAGTCTTCGCTCTCGCTGGCCTCTTCCATTAATGCTAGCGGAGTTTATCACATCGCATGGTCTGACGAAAACAAGGAAATGGTTGGTGTTCGTTATAAAGTGCAGATTGAGTTCACACAAACGGTTTTAAACGTTTTCTAACGGGTCCTGTTTGGTTTCAGAGATGTCTTCAAAACATGATCCAGGTGACGGTGAAGAGGGACAGAGAAGAGAAGAGATACAAGCTCGAAGATCTGCTGGAGCTTCAAAACAAACTCATGCTGATGTCTTCCAAAGGGGAACACGGCAGAGAACAAGTCAACRGATTCACAGAGGTCAGAGGCTCAGGACTTCTGAAGAAATTACCGTATTTATTCATGTATAATACAAACCCCCTTTTTTGAGCTTAAAAAGCATAAATAATGTAATCCTCAAACTACCTCCAGTTTCATTCAGAATTCAAGATTTTTCAGCCTTTGCAGTCTTTATACATATCAATAAAATGATCATTGGACTGTTTCTTTTTATTTTAACAACATATGTACTAAAAGGTATTTTGACAACAAATATATATCAGCTGTAGCAGCATCATATGAATTCTGGAATTTTACACATAGTCCACCAGGATGCGCCAACACAAAAGTCAGAGACTTCACATGAGATTTGGGCCATCTTGTGGGGGAAAAGCAGATTACTTCCTACTCGCGAGCGCCCCCTCTGGTGGGGAAWCTTTTTTTTCAGGGATGCAAACCTTTTCAGAACACCGGTAGACGGCAGCCATTACAGACGAACATGTGTTTGTTGTTGTTCTAGGAGCGGCTCGGTTACACGCTAATGTCATTAGTTCGCTATCATTACTAAGATGCAGGACTACTTTCCCCCTTTTTTTCACATCATGTCGCCTTCCTGGATCTGTTATTATCTCGCTCTAAAGAACAGAGGAGTGTCAGAGGTAAGCTTGCTTCAACTGCTTTTTACTACGCGGTCTCATTTAAGGACTCATGCATTTTGTGAATGAAGCCGATATTTCAGTTAAAATACACAAGTAAAAATATTTATCCGAGTATAGTACTATCCCCCAACTTTATGGATGATTTTATGGATTTAATTTTATGTATTATACTTGAATAAATACGGTAGATAAAAATAAGATTCGACTCATTCTGTTTAAATTAAAGCCTTGCTTGCATTACATTTTAGGTTTTTGAAGGAGTTCAGAGTGTGGGGACCATCCTTCTTCAGATGCAAACATCTGGCAACATGCTCTTCAGGAAGTGGTCCGCTGAGGTCCATTGCAGTCCGCAGCAGCAGCCGTGCATCGTCGTTACCTTCTCATCATTGGGGGGGAAACGGGTGTTGTACCAGGGTGAGGTGACGGAGCAGCTACGTGAACTCGCTCAGTCCATGGACTCCTGCCAGAAGGAGTGGTGCTCCTTCATTGGCGAGATGCGCTCCAGCTTYGACCTGCTGAATCACTACACCTCAGAGCAGCTGGTGTACATGTGTCACTGGATACACAAGGTGTGTCAGAGGCAGGCTTCTGTTCCACAACAGCTGTGGCACCTACTGTTTCCCGTAAGGCCTCGGTGCACGCTGACCGACGTTAGAGCTGCTTACGCTAACGCTGTGAGCCTGATGTCAGAGGATGAGGAAGTAGAAAGTGTTGAATCTGATGAGGAAGATGAGTTTTATGAGACTTCGATGGACGTGTCAGCTAAGTCGAGGCACACAGCGGAGAACATGGATCATGATTGGATGGCGTTTTCTTCTGATGATGAAGAAGATGCTGATCTCATAAATGAGAAGGGTCTTGAACACCTCTGGTTACAGTTTAAGCGGGACATGTCTCAGTACCTCAGCGAGTCCCTGGACATCCAGACTTTGGCCCACTTCCTTTTGTGCCTCTCTGAAATCAGTCCCCTCCACGTGACCAGAAACCTCCCAACGTTCCTCCAAGAGGGAAAGCCAAATCTCGTGCTTTGTTCAACGATGGAGGTTTTCACCACAACGCTGTCCTTTTACATGGAGAGCCCAACGCAGCCTCTGCCGTCTTCTGACGAGGTTCTGGTGTGCAGAGAGGAAACCAGCAAAGAAGAGGTGGAGATCTTTCTTCGCCGCGCTCTCTGCCAAGTTTCCAGACAAAACTGGAAAAAGATTTATTCTCTGGTTAATCCCGGGCTGCTGGGTTATGATGTCAGTGAAGCCTTAGTGGAGCTCTATGAGGTTCTAGAGAGAAGTGCGAGCCCACAGTATTGTTTGGTGATAGTCAGTCCCATTGCACACCAGCACAGATGTGTGCCATCTTACTTTAGCAACAACAAAGTACCGGCTGGTGTGGGTTTAACAGCAGGGAGTGCCAGGAAATATCTGCATCACCATTTCACCTTGAACACCTCGTCACAGAACTCAGTGGCTCTGATTTCACCGGACAGACTCTCAGTCTGGATGTTGTCCTCTGCACGCCCTGCAGTTGGTAAGGATAATTCTTTTCATGGTTCATGTTTGTATTTTATGCTAAAGTTTTAATTTGTACATTTTATCTTACAGAATATTATGAAAAGCCAATTGATAAAGGTTATCTATCTAACAAAGCCAGCAAATTCCATCAAATGTTCATTCCTGAGCAGAACAGAGGCAACAGTAGAAAGAAATTTATGACTTTTTGACAGGACAGAACTTGTAGCAGAACCAAAAACCAAGCTCAGGATGAGCAGCYATTTGTCTTGAACAACTGAAGGTTGAGAGGACAGGAAAGTAACACAGGATTGATCCAAGTGTAGTTTCTATGAGATGTAGCAATTTTAAGTACAAACGGAAAGTAGGACGAGTAAGGACAATGACGGAAGGTAGAAATGAGGTCAGCGTGTTTTGCAGCAGTCTCCAAAAGGATAGCTCAGGAAACCCAAGCCAACATTTAACACATTCTCACTCCCAACTAGTTACATATTGATACTTGGTCACATTCCCACTGCTTCTTATTTTGATGCATTGGGTAACCCGTTCTTGTTAGTTATTCATACACCAGGTATTTCTGGGTTCCCTCAGTGTCCGGTTTTGATGCGTCGGGATGCAAAATATAGGGGTTTTTGAGTTTGGGTCCATGGGATCAGGGTTCTTGGTTAATTTTAGGTAGTGGGGTCAGGGATAGGATGTCTAGGGCGAATATTACTGTAGGTAATTTTAGGGTTTTGGACACGAAGTTGATGTGAATTTCCTACACTTTCTAAAAATGGTTAATATTAGGAATCAGGGTTGATGGTTAATTTTAGGTACTACGGTCAGGGACATGATGTCTAGAGCGAATAAAGGTAATTTTAGGGTTTGGGATGGTTAGTTTTTGTGCATTTTCTACACTTCCTGAAAAAATGACAATGGATTCCACCTCATCTCGTCAATAACTGACGCAAGGTGGGTACCTAACGCGTCAAAACGGGATGCAGAGGGAACCTGACCAAGCCTAAATATGTGACGACTTGGGAGTGAGAATGAGTTGAACTATAGGATTTATCAAAAATAAGCCCAATCTTGAGCCTAGTTTTCAATTCCACAAGTAAACTTGCAGTCTGAGACTTAGGAAAATATGAAACAATAAGATCTTTAATATAAGGTGGAGCTTGGTCGTTGAGATCTTTGTATGTTAGAAGCAAGACTTTTTAATTTATAGCCAAGTGAGCCTGACGTCAGTGTTTTTAAACAACAGGGAAGTCCCTTTATGTGGATCGTTTGCTTGAGAAGTTCCAGCAGAAATCTCAAAGAGCAAATTACATCAGGATCCGACTGATCAAACAATGTGTTGACATAGACTCTCTGATCAAGAGTCTGTCAGAGAAACTGTCCCCTTTGAGAGAGCAGGACCCAGTTCTTCTTCACATTGACACGGCAGGAGTAAGTATATGAACATCTATACTTGTAGACATCTTGTTCTGTTGTTGGCTGTTCTAGGGCTGGGAGATATGGCCTGAAAAAAAATCTCAGATTCTTTCATCCCAAATTGGATTTTCGATTTTAATCGATTTTGTTTCCCACTTAACAGAGTTCCTCTGTTTCAGGTGTTGAAACAAATTTGTTGTACTCCTGCTTTTTGTAGCAAGAGCCTTCAAACAGATTTTGCAGTGAGGTATTTGTTGCTACAAGTCCGAGTTTGCTAAACTAACCAGTTCCAGATAACCAAAGAAACACTGCCTTTTTGAGAAGTAGATCCTCTTTGCTAGCTGCCATATTGTCATGTCATGTACCAAGCATCTTGAGGGACAGGTGGGTTGACCTCTGAACTAAAGAAAGCCCCAAAGAGTGCACTGATGGGGAAAAAAAAATCTTGATTTTCCCAAAATTAAATCTTTATAAATGACAAATTCGAATTAATCGATAAATCGATTTATCGCCCAGCCCTAGGTTGTTCATAGGAATCAGGCTTCTCTTTAAATTCAGGTTCGCTCGGGTCTGGAGGAGGTCCTTTTCCGTCTCTTGGTTTTGGGCTGTTTGAGCGACAGCCATGGCAACCTGTGGAGACGGAATGAAGATCATTTGATAACTGTGGAGGTCCTGAATACAAACACATCACTTCAAAATAGAACAAAAGAGGTAGAATGTATTCAATATTATGATTTTATTGGTATATGCCGTTTTTAGAGTACCACACAAACCTTAGAAGATTAACTACATTAGTACATTTCATGTGAAAATTTCTTAAAACTTTAAGATTTGAAATTGTGTATTTAAATCTTCCACTTTATTTAAAATGTTTATTTTTTTCTCCCTCAGATAAAACTTGGGCTACTTGACATTCTGCCCACCATTCATTGTAAACCTCCCAGAGAGGTACAGCAGATGTTGGCCAGTCAAAATTTTCCAACAAAAAAGAGTTCTGATCCACTCATGGATGAAAAGGAGTTTTGCAGTGAAGGCATTCAGAGGCCATACCAGTACTTAAGGCTGTACAACCAGAAACAGAGTTTGGATCATTTTAACTATGAGGAAGGGTCCAGAGTTGGAAATCCCATTGATTGTCTCAATCACTTTCTGTTGTACTGTGGCATGGATGATCCATCTTGGGGCGAGCTGAAGAACTTCTCCTGGTTCCTCAATGTGCAGCTAAAAGACTGTGAAAATTCAGTTTTCTGTGATCCATACTTTCTTGCGGACCAGCTTCCTGGCTTTAAGGGTTTCATTGTGAAGTTCATGATTCTCATGGCAAGAGATTTTGCCTCTCCCTCTCTGAACACAAGTGACCAAAGTCCAATGCTGCGCATCAAAAGCAGCTCAGAAGATGACCTTATCACTCGTCTGACACTTCGTAAGCGCTGGGAAAATGAGTCCCATCCATACATTTTCTTTAATGCAGACCACTCTTCCATGTCTTTTCTTGGGTTTAATGTGCAGATATGTCGAAGTCAGAATACACTCAGTGCAGTTGATCCCCACAGCGGCAAGGTTCTGATAGACCATGTAATGACTCAAGAACTTTTTCAAGGTTTGCAGCGGCAAAGGATTTCCCTCACCGAGGACTTTGATCAGCTGCCTCGACCAGACAAAATCAAAAGGATTTCTTGTGTTGTTGGTGCAAGAAAAGGAATTATGGACAGGGGATTTGATCCAGACCCAACTTACGAGCTTACTGCTGACAATGTGATGAAGATGCTTGCCATACACATGAGGTTTCGGTGCGGAATTCCAGTTGTTATCATGGGTGAGACTGGATGTGGCAAAACCAGATTGGTCCGTTTTCTCTGCACTTTGCAGAGAGAGGAAAAACCAGTGGAGAACATGGTTCTTGTCAAGGTTCATGGTGGGACCACAGCAGAAATGATCTATAGAAAGGTGCATGAGGCTGAGATGCTTGCTCTTGTGAACAAGCAAAGACACAAGTTAGACACCATCTTGTTCTTTGACGAAGCCAACACCACAGAGGCCATTTTTGCCATCAAAGAAATCCTGTGTGACCAGACAGTAAAAGGCGAACCTCTGAAGTTACACAGCGGCTTGAAAATAATAGCTGCTTGCAATCCTTACAGGAAGCACTCTCCTGAAATGGTGGAACGTTTGGAATGTGCAGGGTTGGGATACCGAGTGAGGGCAGATGAAACGAAAGACCGCCTTGGAAAAGTACCGTTGAGGCAGCTCGTGTACAGAGTTCACCCTTTGCCTCCGAGCATGGTCTCTTTGGTGTGGGATTTTGGCCAGCTGAGTGACATAACCGAGCTTTCTTACATCAGACAGATAGTCCAGAAGAAAGTAGCAAATCATCATTTGCCAGCAGCTTGCAGGAACATCATTTCAAATGTGCTGGCTGCCTCACAGAAATACATGCGAAGTCGGAAGAATGAATGCAGTTTTGTAAGTCTAAGAGATGTGGAGAGGTCCATGAAAGTGCTTGTATGGTTTTACCAGCACAGCCAAAACTTTTTGAACTACAATCGCCTTGAAGAAAATGACAAGACCCTGAAGTGCTTAATTCTTGCTGTTGGAGTGTGCTATTACCCATCTCTTGTGGCCAAAGAGGAGTACCTGGAAGAAATTTGTAGGTACTTTCCAAGCCCAATGGACTCTGCAGCCAAACTGCAGGAGGAGATTTCATCTTGTCAAGACCTCTTCCTCCAGAACATCCAGACCAGAGAGACCATTGCCAAAAACATAGCCCTCAAAGAGAATGTTTTCCTCATGGTTGTGTGTATAGAACTCAGGATCCCACTCTTTCTGGTAGGAAAGCCAGGCAGCTCCAAGTCTCTTGCTAAAACAGTTGTAGCAGATGCTATGCAGGGACAGAACTCTCACTGTGAACTCTTCAGGAAACTCAAACAGGTCCATATGGTCTCCTTCCAGTGCAGCCCTCACTCAAGTCCAGAGGGCATCATAGGTACATTCCGGAACTGCGCTCGCTTCCAGAAGGACAAAAACATGGATGAGTATGTTTCAGTGGTGGTGCTTGATGAGATAGGACTTGCAGAAGATTCTCCACAGATGCCACTGAAGACCCTTCACCCTCTCTTGGAGGATGGCTGTATTGACAAAGACAAACCAGATCCGCACATGAAGGTCGGGTTTGTTGGGATCTCCAACTGGGCCCTTGACCCTGCAAAAATGAACAGAGGGATTTTTGTCTCCAGATGGGACCCAAGTGAGGATGAACTTGTGGACACTGCCAAAGGAATATGTTCATCCTCCAAACAGATTCTCTTAAAAATCAAACACCTCTTCCCATCTCTGGCAAAGGCCTTTCTAAACATCTGTAGTGAGACCTCAAAAAATCAGTTCTTTGGTCTGAGGGATTATTACAGCCTTGTCAAAATGCTCTTTGCAGCAGTCAAGTCCACACAACAAGAACCAGATGCAGAACAGCTGGTGGAGGCCATCTTACGTAACTTCAGTGGACAGCAGGAGAGTTTTGACCCGGTCATATTTTTTCAAGAAGTTCTCAAAGATGTTACAGAATTTCCCAGACCTAGGACTCTGCAGATGGTGAAAAAGAATCTTGATCATGGTACTAATGAAGAGAGCCGTTACCTCTTGTTACTGACCACCAACAATGCAGCGCTTCATATCCTTCAGCAGCAAGTCTTTGCCAAAGGAGACTATCTACCACCTGAAATAATTTTTGGCTCAGGGTTCCCAAAGGACCAGGAGTATGCCCAGATCTGCCGGAATGTAAACCGTGTGAAAACGTGCATGGAGACTGGGCGCACCGTCATCCTCCTCAACATGCAGAATCTTTACGAAAGCCTGTACGATGCCTTGAACCAGTACTATGTCTACCTCAGTAAGCAGCAGTATGTGGATCTGGGTTTGGGCTCCCACAGGGTCAAATGTCGTGTTCATACTAACTTCAGACTGGTGGTGGTGGAAGACCAGAAGAAGGTCTATGAACACTTCCCTGTGCCGCTCATCAACAGATTGGAAAAACACATAGTGGATCGGAGCACTGACCTGGAGTCGTGGCAGCACCGGGTTCTGGACAAACTGAGAGAATGGGTGAAGGAATTTGCCGGAGAAGCCAACGAGGATTTCAAGCTGTCTGACATTTTTATTGGCTTCCACAGTGATGCGTGTGCCAGTGCTCTGCTTCAGGCACTGGAGAGGAGAGCACAGAAAGCTGGAGACAGTGAAGAACAGGACATAAGAAAACCTGAGTCAGACAAAGAAGACTCGGCTACTGAGATGGAAGACGAGTTTGTTGATGCAATGGACACAGAGCAAGAAAATGAATCAGAGGAAATGAAAAATTATGAATCCGGTGAGGTTGATGAAGCAAACAAAGAAGTTGTGGGAAAAGAAGAAATGATGCACACGAAAAATAAAGACAAGGAGGAGGAAGTCTTCAATTTGGCCAAAGGCTTATTGTTAAACTGTGCCACTCCTGATGCTGTGGTGAGGCTCAAATACTCAGGTTTATCCAACCAGGAGCGAGAGAAACTCCAGAGATTGTACTTCCAGCAGCAGCATCACCACTCGCTCAGAGAYTTTCTGGGAGACTGTTTAAACAAACATCAGGAGTCCAGCAAGTTTCTGGAGGTGGGGCATCAAAAAACGTTTCTTCTTCATTGGTTCTTTACAGTCCTTTAACAAACCTCTAACAGCACGTCTGTTTCGTATTTCTGCATAGATCACTACCTTCTCCAGCTTGTTGACCAGATCAGATCTGAGGGTTTTAGCTTATGCTCTGGGTCTACATACAGACAGGATCCTCCTGCTGTCGCTCCACCAGTTTGACACTGAAGTTTCCTTCTGCAATAAAACACGGTACAAACTCAAAGAAACCATAGGATTGTTCCTTTATGATGGCCTGCTTTTTACTATGTAACTCTTTTTAGGGCCTTCATCCAAAATGCAGGCCACTCTCTTCACATTCTGTTCATCCAGGTGGACCTGGAGGAATCCCAGGGCTGCGATGAGCTCATCGCATCGGCAAAGTAGGCCTTAAAGCAGCTRGTTTCGTTTGAACAAATTCTAAGTGCCTGCCTACATGAATAGTGTGTTTATATATCTGTCTGAAGGTACTGCACCATGAATTACATGATGTCACAGGAGGATCAGCCCTGTTGGGTGATTTTTATTGTGAAGGTTTCAAGGATTCTAAGTCAGTCCCAGTACATTGGCTTCCAAGGAGGTGAGGACAAAAAGGAAGGGGGGAGGGGTGGGGGGGGTGTTATTGGAATGTAATTATTATAATTTCTTGTTTTGTTTTCAAGGCATCTGGCATTCAGCGCACATTGATGACCTGAGGGACTCGGAGGACATGAGTCTGAATCTGTCAGTTTTCTGTGGGACTCTCATCAGCAGCCTGCTCARACCTGCACTTCCAGGTAAAAGATGTGCACCGTCAAGGTTTAATTGTTTATTTTATCTCAAATTATGGAAATTCTGCAGAAATCATGGCACTTCATATCAAAGTAATCCATGTATGGTTCATTCTTTGTTTTTGTTTTTTTCGTTTCAAAATGAAATCGCTAAAGGAAAACAATCGTGTGTTTTTTTTCATTCTCAAAACCTAAATGTAAAAATGTAAAATCGAACTAATAAAAAATCAACAGTGTTTGATTTTTGCTTTGCTTATCTAAATCCAAAATAAACAATATGTAGCGTTACCAATGATGAAAGTTGTCAAAGAATAAGAGTTTATAGAGCCTAGAAGAAGAATGCTTCAAAACAAAAACCATTCCTAAATATACTGGCAACGGCTGCACTTAAACCTTATTCTGCCTAACTTGGAATATTAAARCAATTTTGTTTRTGGTAAAATCGACTTCCAGTAAAGAAGACTTTTGTCCGTTTCTGTAGAGCTCAGTGAAAACGTAATGCCCCAGGATTTCAGGCCATGATGGAACAAATGGTGCGCTAACAAAATATGAAGCTTGTCTTTGCTTTAAGCATTAAAACAGAAAATAAATAAATAAATAAATAAAAACAAAAAATGTAGTCTTTTTTTTCTGTAGAGCT